ATACCGCTACTCCCCGGACCTCTCCTGGAGTGCGTTCTGGCCAGAGATTCGAGGCGAGTCCAGCGGTGGCGACGGGGGGCCTCCCAGGAGGCCCAGAAAAGGGGGAAGACGAGGGGGAAGGGTGGGGGGTAGGGGCACCCTTTTCCTCCCCTGAGGCAGGGAGTCCTCTCGCTGCCCTGGCCCGGGCAGCCCGCCCTCGTCGCGCAGGGCCTCGGGTGGCCGAGGCGCCCTGGCAGCCCGGCGCGCGCGCGCGGCAGGGCTGTCAGGGCGCACGCGCGCGCGGCAGAGAGGCCGTGGGCGGCGCCCTGCGGGTCGGCCCGAGGCGCAGGGCCGACCTGAGGCTCTGCGGGTTGAGGAGGGGGAGGAGGAGGAGGAGGAGGAGGGGGAGGGGGAGGAGGAGGAGGAGGAGGAGGAGGAGGAGGAGGAGGAGGAGGAGGAGGAGGAGGAGGAGGAGGAGGAGGAGGAGGAGGATTTCTTCCTTTGCGAGCCGTGAGGCAGGACCGAAGGGAGCAACAGCTCTGCTCACAGTGGAGGGCGCGCAATGTGTGGGCTCTTCCTGGAACAGAACCATGTCCAACGCTTCTTCGTCGGACGCGGCAGAAGATAGGCACAGCCACAGCCGCTGACGCCCACAGGGCGTGAAGTACAGAGACCTACGGGCGTACACGCCCATGGGCCCTAGGGGACAGAGGCGCAGCCTGCATCGTGCATTTCTCGCCACCAGCTTGGCCGAGACCAGCGCGGCCGGTCGGCGCAGCCAGCAAGCGGGGCAATACCGTCCGTGGATACAGCACCACAGGCAGCACGAGAAGAGATGAGGGGCCTGCGGACAAGTGAAGCCCCGCCTGGCACCGCCACGGCAGGGCGACCCCTCGAACTGAAGCTGCAACGGGTAGCCGACGGCATTGGAGGCTGCATTTGCTGCAGCCTCTCGAGCCTGGATGCGTGACAAAAACGGCAGCATACCAGAAGTCTGCACCAATCCCTCGGGGCCGACCGCTAACGTAGCGACTTCCGTCGGAGGAGGGGTGGTGGCAGTAAAGCACAAACAGTTGACACCCCGACGAGAGGATGAGGAAACCCGCTCATCCTCGTTTGTGCACTGAGGATGCAACAGGGACATTTTTCGAGGGGGGGTGGCCTTAGCCCCCGATATCTTTCTGTCTGTGCATTTCCGCCCCAACTGAAAACAGCGCCGCGATGCGTGCGCACCGCGCGTAGCACAGCAGAACACGCTCGTACGCGTACCCTTACGTGAGGCCACGGTGTAAGCGCAAGGGGGTGTGGCCTCTGGTCAATGCCCCCCCGAACACCCACGCCAGGTTTGACTGGGACCCCTGCAGCCGGGCCACGGGGCGGGCCCCAGGGCCGCCCCGCAAGGGGCAGGCACCTCGGGCGCCGAGCGCGCTCCGCCCCGAGGTGCCTGCCCCTGTGACGCCAGCCGCCAGGCCCGAGGAAGTCAGACCTGAGCCCGAGCTGGTTTCCTTCGAGCCTCTCCGAAGGAAGCACGCACGACGCGCTGGCCATGGCACGGGCCGCGAACTCCAACTGCTGCATCTGCTCGCTAACATGCTTCTAGCTAGCCTCGGAGGCCTGAGGGTGAAGAAGGACGGCTTGCTTAGCTGAGGAGTCCGCCTGGGGAATGCCCGTGCCGATCCTTCTCTCGGGCCCTGGGAAGCTATCGAGGACCTCCTGGGATATCCGGGCAGGGGTGTGGTGAGCCCGAAACGCCTGATCCTTTTTTCTCTTGTGCAGCTGAGCCCCCCTTCTCACTCCCGCGCAGCGGTGCTTCATGAGAAGCTTGATGATGAGAGGACGCGTTGGACAAATTGGCGACTGTCGCAACTTTGTTCAGCGCGTCCTCTCATCCTCAAGCTTCTCATGGCTAGCCTTCCAACTGTCCATCTCATCATCAAGCTTCGGATGGCAAGCCATGGACATCCATCTCCACGCTTGATGATGAGAGGACGGCGTCCGCGCAACACTCGGAGGGCAGGCCATGGCCTGGTGCTCCGCCGCCTGCGGAGCCTGCTGCGGCACGCTCCACGCTGCTCCCCTGGCGCGTGCCAGCGTCGCGCCTGCGGCGTCCCAGGACGGCCCGTGCGCAGGCGGCGCGGGAGAACTCTCGGATGGCGCGCCGCGCGCAAGAGCCGTCCACGCACGTGTCGAGGCCCCGGAGGCCCAGGGGGGGCCCCGTGGAATCTCTTCGCCTTGGGGACTGTGCACAGCGGGGTCAGGGCCATCGGAAGGGGGGGGGGAGGTTAGCCCCTGGGTGGTCCCTCTTGACCTCGCCCCAAAAGCTGCAGTCCTCGCGCGCGGGTTACTACTCCCTTCTCTCTCTCGCGTGTTCTCCCGTTGCTGCCCGCTCTCATTTGTGTGCACCGCGGCCGAGTGTGGAGCGAACCCTGCACCCAGACCGTGCTCACAGTGCAGGGTCCGACGGTGTTTCGAGATTCTGACCATACGTTTCGAGTCTGAGACCTCCAGACGGCTGGAAGAAAGATCTATCGGGATTGGATTGGATTTCGCAGTTGGGGCCTCTCTCTCTCTCTATCTCTTTCTCTCTCCGTCCCACCCCCGTTCCCCATTCGCCACCACCATACGCGCGACCTCTCAGAGCTCAGAATCTCGAGAAGGTGTATTGACCTCGCGTCGGCCCCCCTACTCCCCCTCTCCAGCTCTCCCTTTCCCTCTCTCTCTCTCTCCCTCTCTCGATCCCTCTCCCTCTCTCTCTCTCTCGCCCTCTCCCTCTCTTTATCTCTTTCTTTCTCTCTCTCTCTCTCTCCCGCTCCCTCTCCCTCTCCGCATGTCTCGATGTGCTGTTGACCGAGCCTGCAGGGTGGATCTTTCCGTTTCTGTGCGCTTCAGCTTGGCTTCAACTGCGATGCGCTGCTAAGCTCCTTCGGGCCAGCTCGCACGAGCCGGTTTTCGGATCGCACGGGTGCCTCCCCCTCTCCCTCTCCCTTTCTCTCCCTCTCCCTCTGCTTCTCCTTCTCTCCCTCTCTCTTTCTCTCTACCTCTCCCTGCCTCCTTATCTCTCTCTCCCTCTCCCTCTCCCTCTCTCCCTCTGCCTCCCATGATCCCTCCCTCGATCCTCCCTCTCTGGCTCCTCCTCCCTTTGTCCCGCTAGTTTGCTTCTCCCGCCCGCGAGGAGACCCCACCCCGGGCACGCCCCCAGCACCACGGTCACCTGCGTGACGGCCCTGGCGGCGTGGGACAGGACGAGAAACCAGGGGCGGTTGTCCTGATCAACGACGAGGGGTCGAGGGAGACACCGATGACCATGACCAAGACTGAACGCGGCAAATTACGCGTGCATCCTGGTCATCGTCCGTCCTGGCCGTCGTCGATTCGTGGATCATCCTCGCGCATCGTCGACGGCCGGCATGGACCATGACCAAGATCGGCGTGGACAAGATCCCGCGACATTTCGGTCATGGCCATCGCGCCTCTTCCCTCGAGGCGAGGGGGGGGGGCAGAACGAAGACGAGGACGAGCCGGCGGGGGCGGGCGCCCGGCCGATGTTCGCCTTCGCCTACCAGGTCGTCGCGGGCTCGTTCGGCGGCAGGGGGTGGTGCGTAGGGGGGGCCAGCAGACACGCGGTCCGCCAGGGCGAGGGCGAGGAGAACAGTAGTACAGACGGACTTGATTGGACAGGACATCCGAGAGGACACAGGACTCTTCCGACGGCAGCGGTTGCGTCCAGTGCGGACGCGGCCGCAAGAGACCCTCGCAAAAAACCCAGCCCCGAAGACCCACGAGCGCGAGGTGCAAGCGGGGGGGGGGAACCCGAAGCACCCTGAGCGCAGCAGCTCCTTCACCGGCCGCAGAAGACACCGCGCAGCGGGCGATGCGGAAGAAGAAAGAACGTCACGGGAAGGGTCACGAGGACCACGGAGCCAACGACGAGAAGGTGGGGAGGAGGACGAGGACAGGCAGGACGGCGGTGAGTGCGAGAGAGGTGGAGCAGGATGGCGAGAGGCAGGCGAGGGCAGGAGAGATGAGAATGGAGGAGCGAGAAGGACTGGAGTGAGGCGAAGGAGCGGGCAGGATGGCGAGGGCACCCAGACCAAAAGCAGTCGGTCTCTCGATGCGCCGCCCTACTGCAGTTCGGGATGGACGGGAAGCAACCCTGAGATCCGACGAGAACAAACGGCCCCGCGACATATCTCAACATGGGCGCAGGCCGAAACTTCGGCGGAAGGGCGGCGGAAGGTCGGCGGAAGTAAAACGGCGGCGGCTCCGCCAGCGGAAGTCAGCGGAAGCTGGCGGAAGTTAAAGCCGACCTCCCAAGGGATGACAGCCTTTTTGTCCCTACTGTAGGTCAGGATAGAAGAGGCCTCCTGGATGGGTCCGAGCAGATGGGGTCGGAGGATCGCGCCGCATCGCCAACTCATCGGCGATGCGTCGGCGATGCAACGTCGGCATCGGCGATGCATCGGCGACGTCGGCGTGGAGAAAATCGGGCTGCACATCGAGCCGCATCGCCGATCCGTCGCCGATGCCGGTCCCTGCTGCAGGTCGGGATGAGCAGGACACAACCTTGAGATCCGACATTGCGAAAGAATTCCACCATCGCGATAAACCACCACCACCACCACCACCACCACCACCACCACCACCACCACCACCACCACCACCACCACCGCGTCATTCTTCGAGCCCGATCGACCTGTGAGGCTCCCGGGGCCGAAGCGGGGCGAAGACGCCCGGCGTGGAAAAAAAATGTGCGTCGCCAGGATCTCAGGGAATGGTGCCCTCGATTTTTGGCACGGTCGACCCGGCACTCGGGGCCGACAGCGGGTCAGCGCGTGCCTGCGCGCGGGCGCGCGCTGCCGAAACTTAGGTCGGGCATGTCCTCCTACAGGAGGGTTTAGAAAGACGAACTGAAATGCCCAAACGTACTTCTTGCACGAGATAAACCACGAAAATCGTCACCTGAGTATATTTTTTGACTGTTTTCGAAGATTCCTCCTGTATTGGGATATGCCCGACTTAACTCTGCACGTCGGCGCTGCCCGCGGGGGAGCGAAGACCGGGAGCGCAGGCACCGGCCGCCCCGGCATTCCTACAGGCCTACCACGACGACGACACGACGACGACGACGACGACGACGACGACGACGACGACGACGGCGACGGCGACGGCGACGGCGACGACGACGACGACGACGACGGCCGTCCGACCTGCCGACTGCCACCCGATCGCTGGGCGCACGGGAGGCGCGGCGGACCTGGGACCTGGGACGCGCCCAAGTACGGTCGGACCTGGGATAGAAGAACATCCTCCAAGAACGTGAGGTCCTCCGCAGGCCAAAACACACAGAACATCCAAGGGTGCCCCCCCCAGGGTAAAAACATGAGGGTGCCCTCCCCGAGCCGACCTCGGTCTTATCGGTCCGACTGTAGACGAAGCTCACACGACGGAAACCCCTGCGCCCCGCACCCCAAGGAGACGAAGCCGGCGCGCGGCAAACCCACGGTGAGGCCACCGTCGAGTCGGCGTTTGCCCTGGTGCCCGCGGCGCCCTCCCCAGAACGCACGGCTGCGCGTCGGAACAAACTGTGCGGCGACACATGTTCTTCGAAGAAAGGACGGTTCGAATGGCAAAAACAATGTTCCCTCTACATGTGACGGACATGCGGTGATACGGCCATGGCACCACGCGCGCGGCGCCACGGACAGGAAAGACACCGCGCCCGACGCGCGAGGCGCCGCACGGAGAGCGCTCCCATCACGGCACTGCACACGGCACCAGGTATACATCGAGCTGCGCAAAGGGCACCGCGCACTCGGAACCAGCACCTGGCAGAGTGCGACCACTTTCTTAGAAGTCGAGCCAGGCACTGCGCGCAGGGGGGATGCGCCTTCGGCCCAGAGGGAGGCCCCTTCCCAGAACAAAGCAATCGCAGAGCCCCTGAACCTGGGCGATACTGAAGATGGGAGCGCCTCTTAAAGAGCTGCTCCAACAAGGAGACTGCGAAGGCGAAGAGGAGGGCGCACGACAAATGCACGAGGAAAGTGAAAGCAGCAAACATACAAAGAACAACGAAACCCATGACCGCTCCTTTTGACTCGCAGAGTGATCAGATCTGCACGGAGCTTTTCCACACTAGGATGGAAGACGCTAGTCGAAGACTCTATCCGGAAAGCGAGCGGCAATGATGAAAGGGGGGCTGAATGGAATAGGACACGTAGCCTTATGGGCGAGAAATAACACATACCCAAACAAACAACTCAAACATGGTCAAAACTAGCAGCAACATCGCCCCCAGACTACTTGCTTTATCTATTTTGGGATATTCCTCCTGTAGAGGGGCAGGCCCGACTCAAACGTAGCCCCCCCCGCCACGAAGCGCGACGCCAGCCCAAAACGCTAGTGCGCTACACAAAACACGGACAGCGGAGAGACGCGGCGGGAAACGCCGGGGGCGAGGCCGCTCAGCTGACGCGCTGCGCCGCGAGCGAGTGCACGCCCCAAGCCGAATGCCCGAATTCGGGGCGCGTCGGCGACACGACGACATGTGACCAACAGCAAGACAAGCACCATGCACATGAAACGTGTGTTGTGGGGAGGAGCCCACAACACTGTGGCCATAATCCACTCGGGTGCGCAGCTTCATGATTGCGTGGGATTCGGCCAAGCCGCCGGCTTCCGCCAGTCTTCCGCCAACTTACGCCGGTGGAGGTGCCCTCGTTTCACTTCCGCCACTCCTCCGCCGACCTTCCAGCGAGGAAGGGGTGGCAACGCATTCGACCCCTCGAAGGCGAGGCCCTTTTCTGGAGCGCCGCATGTGGAATTACACTAACATGGCGAACCTCCAGTTGCGGCGTGCTAGAATCCGCCGACACTTTCGGCGTGTGTGAGGCGTTTTCCCGTTCGACGCCCCGCTGTTCCGTTCTCTGCGAGGCGCACAGACGCAGCAAAGGCTACGTGATCCGATGGACTTCCACCCACATCGTCGGCAAATCCAGCAAACAAGAAATCTCAAAAGCCACTCCAGTGGGTTTCCACCCACATCGTCACCACATCCAGCAAAGAGAAAATCGAGCAATGCCGAATGGAGTCGAAGAGAAGCCCCTTCCCTTGATCACTTCACCGCCGTAGGGGAGGGGTGGTCCTGGGGGGGTCCTGGGGAGGGTCCCCGGAGGTGTAGGGGGGCTCCTGGGGAGGTCCAGGGGAGATTCAGGGAGGTCCTGGGGAGATCCAGGGAGGGTCCAGGGGGGGTCCTGGGGAGGCTCAGGGAGAGGGTGTCCTGGGATTTGTGCCCTCCCCGACGGAGCACCCCCCTTTGGGGAATCAGCGAAAGTCGTCATCGAGTCGAAAGACAGCCCCTTCCCTTTGATCGCTCCCTTGCTCGGGAGGGGGGTGGGCGAGTCCCGTGAGGTGGTCCTGGAAGGCTTCTGGGGAGGTCCTGGAGGGGGGTCCTGGGGTTTGGGACCCCCCCTCCCGGGGGGCAGCACCCCTCTCTTGGAAACGCTTTGCCGTGTGATTGCTCCCCTTGGCGCTTTTCTGTCTGAGACGTCGCCATCGTCGTCGCCGTCGTGGTCATCATCATCGTCGTCGTCGTCTTCGTCGTCGTCGTCGTCGCTCTCCCCCCTGCCCTTCCCGTCCTCCTCCTCCTCCTGCTCCTCCCCCCCCTCCTCCTCCTCCTCCTCCTCCTCCTCCTCCTCCTCCTCCTCCTCCTCCTCCTCCTCCTCCTCCTCTTCCTCACTCCTCCTTGTCCTAGCGAACGTGTTCGGTGGTACCGGCCGAAAGGCCTTCGCAGTCAGTATGAAGGAGGAGGGTGATCAACGACGGGGAGGAGAAGGAGGAGGATGAGGAGAAGGGACAGAACGAGGACCAGGATGAAGAGGGCAAGAAGAGCATGTTCAGGTATGCCAGACACCATTGGTCGGAAGAGATGGGTAGGACCATGAAGTAGGAAGGTGTTGAAAGTGAACGTATATTGGGTTTGCGCCTGTTTTCTGAAGAGGAGGGAAAAGGCGTTTGAAGTAGATCGGATAAATGAGACCCCCCTCCCAAAGCCTGCTTTCGACCACCGATGGATACGTTCGAGGAACAAAAAACGGTGCAAACCCAGTTTCTGGGAGGTCCGTGTGGGTTCTTTGACCGGCGCTGGACCCCCCCTCGCTGGCGCGAGGAGCGCCCAGGGGGCGGCGACGGAGGCGCCGCCAAGTGGGCCCAGCGCCGACCAGCGAAATGCCAGCGGACCTCAGAGAAGGGGTACGCAACACCGCCTGCTTTTCGACGACTCTCGACGACCGTTGGGTACGCGACTCCGTGGCAAAGACGGCCGCTTCGCTGGACGAACCTCCAGCAGTATTCCAAGCTGGTTCAAGTCGGCCGACATTCCTTGAGCTGAGCAGGGGCCGGCCGTCCTGGCACTCCTGTAGGCCTACCACGAAATGCTCGTAGAACCCCAAAGCGTTCGTAGAACAAAAGCAGTGTCCTCAGAACGTGAGCCCGATGCGTTAAAACGAGACAGACAAGCTGGTTGAAGTCGGCCGACATTTCGGCCTGCGCCCATGCTGAGCCCTCGCGCGAGAACCCCAAAGCGTTCGTAGAACAAAAGCAGTGTCCTCAGAACATGAGCCCGATGCGTTAAAACGAGACAGACAAGCTGGCTGAAGTCGGCCGACATTTCGCCCTGCGCCCATGCTGAGCCCTCGCGCGCCGGCCGTGGACACGGCACGACCTGCGCAGCACGCCTGGGAGGGTCGCTGCGGAGGAGGAGAGCGGTCAACGATGAGAAGGAGGGCGACAAAAAGCAGCACGAGGACGAGGACGAGGAGGAGGAGGGGCAAGCAGAGTACGATAGGGCACGGTGAGAGCAACGGGTAAGGAACCATTCGACCATCTGATAATGAGCCCAGGGTCTGGAAGCCGGTGGAGCCCCAATCGTGGATTGGCCATGGATGTCATCATCGCCGCCCTCGTCAGACCAGGAGTCCTCAAAGACTCTAAAGCCTCTGGGGCACACTCTTGAATTCACGCCCCAACCGTGCGAAGGAGGAAAGCGGTCAACGATGAGGAGGGTGGGGAGCAGAACGAGAACGAGGAGGAGGCGGGGGATGGGAAGCGGTGTGTGATAGGATCGGGAGCTTTTGCGTAGCGCATCGTGGCGGCGGCCCTGGCGACACGCCATGCCGTGCGAGCGGACAGCGCGTCGCTCCGCTTCTTTCGGGGCGGAAGGCGGGGATAGGCTCGCGACGCTGACGCCTGGGGACTGGGAGACGGATAGCGTCTCGCGCCGCAGCGTGGTGGGCCAGAGCTGGCGGAGCGACACGCTGAGCCAAAATTCCCGACCGTAGGGTATGCGACACGATGTGGCGGGTTCCGGAGACCCCGAACACAAACATGTTGCCATCTCCTGGGAAAGCGATCTTTACTTCCGCCGACTTCCGCCGAGTAAGGAATAGCAACTCCTTCCATCCTCTTGGGCGTGACTTAGTGGGGGCGATGCGCGATACACTAGCGGGAAAGAAGGTGCACTTTTCGGGCCCTGACGGCCCTCTTCTGGACCCTATGGGCCCCCCTTAGGGGCCCTAAAGACCCCTTCAACCTTCGCTACCCCCAAATTTACCGCCCCCCGTCACGCGCCCCCCAACTCGCCATCGCTCGGACGTCCACTCCCCGTGCATTTGTCGATTTCGTGCGCGTATTTTTTTGGCTGAATGATCAAAGATGCTCCTCGATGGTCCTCGCCGAGAAAAAAAATGCACACGTCCGAGCGATGCCAAGCCAATCAGCGAAGGCGAGGGCCTTTCTGGAACCCGCCACATGGAGTCGGGTCGAAGATGGCCGTCCTTCAAGGGGAACTGGGACACACAAATAAATAGACACAAATAAAAAGATTCCCCATATTTTCCCATATTTTCAGGGTTTGTCTTCCCCACCACTTCCCATATTTTCCCATATTTTTCTGGGGATCGACGATTAATTGTGTCTGTGTGTTTCTTTTCCTCCTGAGTCCTGCTCCACGAACCTCCAGTCGTCC